ATATAATAATTGTTTCAGGTACAGCGATGTGGTTCTAGAACCAGTCCATTTACAGGGCGAATCATCTTTGGTGTACGGTAGCCTTGCCATGCGTAGTGGCGTATTTCCTTCAGATCGGTTGTCGTATAATCAGGATATAACATACATCCAATACTATTTGGAAAAACATGGCATCGAGATTTCGCACCTGTCTGTGCCGCTGGTAGCGGCAGAAATAATTAGCTGCCGGTTAAATTTTTCATTTGCCATTGCGTATTTTGTTTTACTTTAATTGTTTTAGCTTAAACGTCCTTTTCCCCTCTCCAGGTGAGAGTGCAGCTGCCAATCATGGGACTGATTCGTCAAAGCCACAAGATTGTAGCCAGTTCGTCGTCCCAGAGCTGATGATTATTCATCCAATTCCTTATTCTGTTTGGAGATTCGCTTTCTGTCTTCCGTCAATATTATACAGGTAAATGTGCGATCGAGAAAATGTATCAAAAGGAGATATATTATCCCCTGTACCATTATGTCTTTTTTCTGCTCAACAAGGTTATACGGCTGCGCATTCATGCACTGTATGTTTTGCTTCACGGAGCTGGCGCCAGAACACCGTATAAACCGAAGAAATGACGAGCAGAAAACTGTTATTCTTGCCGGCAGTATCGAAAACTAGCAACTTGATAGAGTGATTAACTTTTGTGCAGATAGTTATCTATTACGTAGCTTCTCGTGATCTTGCGACACGATTAAATTATGATCACCATAATTTCTGTTTCTATGGTACATTCCGTGAAGGACCTAGAGTCGGTTATTTAATTTGAGTTGGAATGGCGGAGGTTCTTCTTTAGTATTTCCACATCGAGAATTGCGTCTCGTTTTCAGCAATTTCCTTCTTTCTAAATCAGAGCCAAAACGTACTTTGCACCTGATGAACAGGTGATCACCCCTTTCATTAAACATGTTTCGTACTGTGGGCTTCATACTGCTGAGGATGAAATCCATTTGATGATTAGCACCGATTAGGCCTTTCTATACCCATGTTTTGCATGGTTTTTCTTAAAAAGGTGTTCATAACAAATAGCTTGTTCCCTTCAGCAAAGTCCACTAGTAGGCCACTTCTGTGGTTCCTTTCGCCGTTAAACAACCAGCCCACAGCATATTCGTTTCCTTGTTGCGATTTAACTTTGGCACTGAAATCATCTATAATGAACTTGTGATGGCTATATGTGTTAATGGATTAATCCTCTTCATTCGTATAAATCTTCCATCTTTACATGAGGATGGTTTGATATTGGTGAATATTCTTCGATCACTTTGAGTATCTCTTTGAAACTCTCAGAACCAGTGTTTAATATATCTCTGAAGTGTTGTAAACTTGTACTACATTGCGCTTTACTTTTCTGTGGATAATATACCCTACTCCAATTTTCTTGCGGTTTTCGATCCTCCGTAGAACAAGAGATATTCATTTTTAGGCTCTAACAGCCCATCCTTTCTTCTATCTGCGCTGAGTTATACAGCATCCCAATTGATTTTCCTAAGTTCTTCAGGCTCATCAATCGTTGTTTCACCTAGAAGTGACGCGGAGTTGTATGAGTTGTATGTTTATATCGTTAGTAAGACTTAGCAGCTCTGACATTCGAAGTCCAGGTAATTTAAGCACCCTCTGGCTTGATGCTTGATCAATTTAATCTTTCGCTGGTGTCAGTCCAGCCCCTGGTGAACGAGGGCAGTGGTTTTACTTGTGATTTCATCTTGAAGGATTTTGCAGTAAGTCACTTTGTTGGACAGACGGAATGGTGAGTTTTGCCTCTTTCACTTGACCGAGTATATTTGTCAAACTTTGACGGCATGATTGAATCTGTCAGGGCCTAAAAATTTAGCTGTACAAGATCTTAAGAACCCGTTATATAATTGATCTCAACTGCATATATATAAAGGATACTCCTTTCTGTAATTCCGTTTCGACTGTTCGGTATTCGGTAACTTTCCTTCTGAGCCATTTAAATAGCCATCTCTAGCGATGGCACCATTTAGCCAGAGTTTAACTGGAGGATTAACCTAGCCTCGAGTGCTTTTGGTAACCTGCTCAATATTTCGGTTAAGAAGGGAGTATTTTTTTCCCAGAAAAATCCGCCAGTACCTCTGTCATATCAGTGTTATTGTACCTCAAGGAAGTAGCTGCTTTAACGAAGGAACAAGAGCGACTGCTGAGCTACGTACAACATGATTGCCTTCGACGCATTCTGAGGGTTAAATGGCGGGATCACATTAGGAATGACTCCGTTTTTTTCAGGCACAGATGTCCTGAATAGACATGGAGTTTAAGTAGAGGAATTTTGCCATGTCAGACACACTGGTTGAATATCAAACATACTCCAGCCGGTGAGCTTCTCATGTGGGAGCCGAAGCACGGCAGTCGTCTACTAGGAGGCCACCATGCAAAATGGAGAAAAAAGGTCGAGACATATTTGCCTTCGATGAGTAATATTTACTTTTTCTATGGATAATCGATGCCTTGTGGCAAATGGGTTAAAAAACTGCTAGTGCGGCGGATATCACAAATCGTGGATGTTTTACTTATGTAAATCGTTCAAGTT